ATCGATGGGAATGCGACAATCTATTGGTCATTTTGGTTCTGAATAATTGAATTACATCACGCATCTATAAGTCAAGAAAATTAATGGTTTGAAACAATTAGTCCCTTTAAATTTTGAGGGAGTTGTGGAGATTTGGAAATATTTCAAGTTGTTATTCATCGTAGACTGACATCAGTTGGAGGAACAAAGGAAACCTGGGAGCACTGGACAGCTGTTTCCTCTTAGTATGGGACTCCTCAGCAGTGCGCACCCACGACCCCACCAGCAGGGATCGGACCCGCGACCTTCAGGTTCCGCGGCCAGCGCGTTACCATTGAGCCACTGGCTAACAGAAGTTGGAAATATGGAGCATTGGATCCTGACCCAGTGGCTCAACGGTAACGCGCTAGCCGCAGAACCTGAAGGTCGCGGATTCGGTCCCTGCTGGTGGGGTCGTGGGTGCGCACTGCTGAGGAGTCCCATACTAGGACGAAACAGCTGTCCAGTGCTCCCAGGTTTCCTTTGTTCCTCCAACTGATGTCAGTCTACGATGAATAACAACTTGAAATTAGTCCCTTTAATAAATTTCGATAACGTGATTAGAAGAAAAATGTGATGTATTTGCGCAGTACATTTCGAACAATCTGATCACACATTTACTTGTCAAGTCAGTTTATATATGAAAATTAAAGGTCAAATATAATGAAAATGAAAAGGTTGTGATACTAGGCACATTTGTAAACAGAGAGTTAACATCAAACATCAGATAATCTTCGTCTTCTAATAGGGTTATCGAAATTTTTAATCGTTTGGTTCTTTTTACGACTACGACAGTGATTTAATAAAGGGCTTACTCCTTTTTGAATTTGTAAATTTCACTCTGTAGTAGGTCAAGCATTTTCATTATGAGCATAAGAGGAGGAGTGATTCAGGTAAACGTGAAACTGGTTATATAGATGAACATGATTGATTAATCAGTAAGAAATGATAAAGTATAGCAAGGCTGTTAAGGCATTGGATTGGAATGTAGTTCAGTATATTTTCCAACTACAGACAATTCACAATAGCCATCATTCAGTTCCACAAGAGGATATTTATCCTCATCCTAGAATTGACAGATTTCAGAAGTCCCAACCGTTTATTTAGAGCTTTTGGGCAATCTTTGATTCTTTAAATATATACTACTCTAAAATTGTCAAATCAATGGATAAATTTGAATTTAAATTAAAATCCATTAAGTTAGATTGATTTTTTAATCTTGATATAAATCAAACGAATTAAGATACACATATAAAATGGATGTTAGTCGCTTACACTCCATCTACAAGTATCATTTCCGGTTTATTATTGTGTTGAATTTAAACAATCAGAAAAGTTAGGAAATATTTCTAGAATGAAAAGTTCTGTTATATCAAGTTAAGCATAATATGTTTACTAGTTTTAAAGGTATGAATTATAGAGATGAATGAAGCAGTTTAAATAAACTTTTAATTGATCATCCACTTATGTGTAGAATACAGATTTCAAATAATTTCTGTGTACTGTACAGTCATAAAAATTTAGTCAAAAGAAATAGTGGTACTTAGAGCAGGTAAAAGATTTGGACTCATGAAGATGCATCATTCCCACTATCCTGTATATGTTCTCAGAAATCATGAGTGTTTTTACTTCCATTTTTATTGATTTATTAAATTTACCACACAATGGAACAGTATTATTTACTGGATTACATTTCCAACATAATTTATTACCCATAGTCATATCAAGATAACTATACAACTTTGAGATATCCCTTATTGGTCGTAATTACCTCGCCCCCTAGTGACATGGGTAGTAAAATTCTCTATATATCCGGAACAGGTGCTGAGTCATTCCTGTTGCCGCATGTGTTAAGTGTTGATTCGATAAACAAAGATTCAGTTATCAACTTCTTCTGCCTCCACCTTGCCATGTTAGTTTTAAGAATTTTCACCCTGTCCCACTCTATTGCGTGTTTGTGTGTAATCGCATGCATAGCTGTGGCTGAGCGTCTTTTCTAAATTCCTTACCTTACTAGGATCTACCAATTTTGACCTAGGTAGGTTTTTGTACTCGAATAGCGTAAATGACCGACCCTGGTCGACTACTTTGACCTTGCAACTATTGCAAGGGATTTGGTAAACTAAGTTATTCTGCTTAATTGGATCAATAGGATCTTTTTACATACCAAGCTTATTTCGAAGTCAGTTTGTAGATTTAAATGCCACTCTAATCCCAACCTTATTGAGAATTCTAAGTAGTGTTTCTGGGGTGCCCTCTTTGTATGGTAATATCAGTAACACAGTTATTAATAGTAGTAATAATAGCAACAATAATAGTAATAATAGTGTTGATAATGATGTAAATAATAGTAGTGGCACTACTGAGAATAGAGAATTCAAAACCTTTACAATACAAACCTCTACTATACAAAGAAGTCACCCCAGAAACACTACTTAGAATTCTCAATAAGGTTGGGATTAGAGTGGCATTTAAATCTACAAACTGACTTCGAAATAAGCTTGGTATGTAAAAAGATCCTATTGATCCAATTAAGCAGAATAACTTAGTTTACCAAATCCCTTGCAATAGTTGCAAGGTCAAAGTAGTCGACCAGGGTCGGTCATTTACGCTATTCGAGTACAAAAACCTACCTAGGTCAAAATTGGTAGATCCTAGTAAGGTAAGGAATTTAGAAAAGACGCTCAGCCACAGCTATGCATGCGATTACACACAAACACACAATAGAGTGGGACAGGGTGAAAATTCTTAAAACTAACATGGCAAGGTGGAGGCAGAAGAAGTTGATAACTGAATCTTTGTTTATCGAATCAACACTTAACACATGCGGCAACAGGAATGACTCAGCACCTGTTCCGGATATATAGAGAATTTTACTACCCATGTCACGACTATATAAGGGATATCTCAAAGTTGTATAGTTATCTTGATATGACTATGGGTAATAAATTATGTTGGAAATGTAATCCAGTAAATAATACTGTTCCATTGTGTGGTTAATTTAATAAACCAATAAAAAAGGGGTTTCCATTTTACCAAAGTGCACAAGTTATACTCTTGCATTAATGACTGTTTTTAAACTTTCGGCGTAATACTGACTCTAATAGTTCATTCAATTAATCACCCAAAATTACTCTGAACATCCAGATGCTGCGTTGAGTCAAACTATACATTGATTGGTCACTGAAGGGTAACCAACATCATGTAGTCCAGTCCTATGTGTTGATCGAATTCCGTCGACCATTTTGTAATATGTTCATCAGGTTAGGAGACTCATTAACGTGATTGACTGAGATAGCTACTGGTTAGATGGAGAAAATCAGAAGGACGCTCTGATCGACCTAGGTCTTATGCTTCTGCTGGAACTCATCAGTATGACGTATCTCCAACCTCGATAGAACTGATGCCCCACCAGAAATTCGAACCAGTATCACCCAATGCTGCAGTTACAGAAGTTACCACTGAACTATTCGGGCCAAGACTAATCTTCTGTAGGACTGAATTAGGTAATTGGTGGGTCCCTGGAGGGTAGCCAACTTCATGTAGTTTAGTCCTACATGCTGATTGAATTCTGTCGATCGCTTTGCAATATGATCACCAGACTAAGAGACTCATCACTGGGATGCTATGAAAGAGATGTTAGCACTCTTTCTGCAAGCAGACTCTTTATAAACGGAAACCCCGATTATTATTATTATTATTATTATTATTATTATTATTATTAGTCCCTTGGGTTCCTAGTGGAACAAAGGGCTTCAGTAGCACGTCTCCATTTCATCCTGTTCTCTGAGATCTTTTCAACCTGGTCCCACGACAGCCCAGAAGCTCTCATTTCCTCCTCGCACGACCTCCTCCATGTCACCCTCGGACGTCCAACTCGTCGCTTCCCATGGGGATTCCACTCGAGGGACTGGCCTGACGCGTGATGTCCTCCGTCGGCCTTCTCAGTGCATGGCCAATCCATCTCCACTTCTTCCTGCATATTTGTTGCGTGATAGGTTCTTGGTTGGTTCGTTCCCAGAGTTCCTTGTTGCTTATTCTTTCTGGCCATCTGATCTCCAGTAGCGAGCGTAAGCAGTTGTTGATGAATGTCTGTAGTTAATGGGAAATGCATTTCGTGACGCGCCAAGTCTCTGAGCCATACAAGAGCACTGACTTGACGTTGGTGTTGAAAATCCGGATCTTGTTCACGCTGTATGCTGAGTGCAGAAGATCTCCACATTGGTTTCAGGCTAATGAACGCCTGTCTTGCTTTTCCGATTCTGACTCTGACGTCCTCTTCCGTCCCGCCTGTAGTTGAAACAGTGCTTCCTAGATAAGTGAAGGAGGTTACTTCCTTCAAGTTTCTCCCGTTGACGGTGATTGGAGTTTGTTGTTGTTGTTGTTGATGGTGGTGGTGCGGTATCTTCATCACTTCTTATTCACCTGAAGGAAGTCCCGTCTTCGCTGCCTCTTCTATCAACTTGTTAGTTTTTGCCTGCAGATCTTCAAGTTTATGTGACATTAGGCATAAGTCATCGGCGAAATCCAAGTCTTCTAGGTTCTTTTTCGTCGTCCAGCGTATCCCCCTCTTCTCACAGCTCCTCACTGTTTGCTGCATGATCCAGTCCACCACAATAAGGAATATCATGAGGGATAGTAGGCAACCTTGTTTCACTCCTGTCTTCACTTCAAAAGCATCACTGAGCTTCCCATTGTGAATTACTTGGCTGGCATGTGGCATCTTCATATAGTTGTTGAATGAGGCGGATAAAGGTTTGCGGTACTCCGTAGTATTGAAGCAGTTTCCAAATTACCTCTCGGTCGACACTGTCAAAGGCCTTCTCAAAGTCGATGAAGTTGAGGTAGAGAGCTGATTGCCATTCTATCCTCTGTTCTATGATGATGCGTAGTGTGGCGTTGCAATTTGGTCAGCACATGATTTGTACTTCCTGAAGCCTGCCTGTTCCAGTCGTAGTTTCGATTCCAGTGGATCCTCCAGCCTCTCCAGGATGATGCGGCTTAATATTTTGCTGGCTTTGGGTGGACAGGAGAGTGATTCCGCGCCAGTTCTTGCAAACACTGAGGTCTCCTTTCTTCGGCAGTTTGACAAGGTAACCCTTCTTCCAATCAATAGGCAAGTACCTTCTCTTCCTTCCACACCTTCTGCGATAGTGGTGTGGTGTGAGCATGTCCGCTGTTGTCTCTGCATCTGTCCTCAGTGCTTCTGGCGGTATCCCATCTGGTCCTGCTGCTTTCCCACATTTCAGTAGCTTTATGGCGTTCAGGACTTCCATTTTCGTTGGGGGATTTATGTTCACTTGTAATTCAGCGGCTGCAGGTGGTATTTCTGGACGAAGTGCAGGTGGTGGTCGATTCAAGAGCTTCCTGAAGTGGTCGGCCCATCGTTTCCTTTGTTTCTCTTCTTTTGTAATTAAATTTCCTTCTTCATCTTTTATTGGTTTCATCTGTGTTGGTCTCTTCCCTGATAGCAACCTGGTTATTTGATACAATGTTGTCAGGTCTCTCTTACCTGCAGCCTGTTCTGCTTCACTTGCCAGTGTTTCGTAGAAGTGTCTTTTGTCTTTGCGTGCACTCTTCTTCACTTCTTTGTCCAGTGTTTTATACATTGTGCTCAGTTCCTCTTGTCGTTGAGCATCCTTGCACTGGTTTATCTTCTGCTTCACCATCCTCCTCTCCTCTATCAGCTTCCAGGTATCCGTCGAGATCCATTCCTTGTCTTATTTCTTCTTCCTTCCTAATACTGTTGTGCAGGTTTCTTTCCACATCTCTTTCAAAGACTTCCAGTGTTCTTCCACACAGGTTTCTTCAGGGATGTTGCTCGATGTCTCCCATTTTGTCTTGATGGCCGCCTTGAAGATCTCCTTTGTAGTTTCATCCTTCAGTTTCCGAGTGTTGTACTTGAGTTGAGGTCTATCACCAGTTTCCTTGAAGGCTTTTAACTTGATTTGAAAGGTTACTTGCACTAGACAGTGAATGGTCTGAACCTACATCTGCTCCTCTTCTTCACCTTGTGTCAAGTAGGCCGACTGCGTCTCCATTTTATTCAGATTGAGATAAAGTCGATTTGATTTTTAGTGTGTCCTGGTGTCTGGTGAAATCCATGTCGCTCGCTTTGTGGATATCTTTGTGCCTGAACGCACTGCCTCACTGCAATCACCAAATCGTTGAATGCACAGAATTCTGCAAACAATTCTCCATTCTCATTCATTTCACCTAGCGCCTCTCGACCCATGGTTAGTTCTCTTCCCGTGTTGTCCCCTCCCAGTTTGGCATTCATGTCGCCCATCAGAATTTTGATATCGCCAACTGACGTCTTGTCCAGTGTTGATTGAAGTTGTCTGTAGAAATCCTCCTTTTTCTCTTGCTCTGCATTATTTGTAGGTGCATAGCATTGTATGATTGTGACCTTTCTTCCTTTTGAGTTGAATCTTGCTGTCATGATCCTGGAGGAGATTGGTTCCCACTGCATGAGAGAGAGCCTTCGATGCTCTTGAGGACATCATAATAGCCACTCCTTAACTCAGTGTGCTCGTGGTTGGCGTCTGGGTGACAGTATCGGAGTAGATTTTGATTCTCCAGTTGACAGTTTGGAGAGTCCACTCCCATTCCATCTGCTTTCGCAAATCCCAAGCACTTCGATGTGATACCTTCTCATCTCCTTTGCAACCTGGGCTGCCTTACTGGGAAACCCCGATAACAGCACGTATTTCAGGACAAATGTTTTTGCATTTGCTGGCTTCCAATTCCAATGGCGACACCAGTATTTGTCAGAATGCGCATGCAACTGACCTATGGGTTGCGAAGGTAATGAATAACACTTCCTGTACACTATACCTTACCTTACAAGGTGTTTAATAGTTACTATTTGATGCTTCTAATCTCCCGTTCCTATACTAAGTCAAAACTGCTTAGACACTGTTCGCAGATGAACTCTTCTAGAGATGCTTCAATACTGCCTGATTGGTGACTATGTTGATATCTACTTGGTGGCTAACAGCGAAATCCAAGACGCGTGTTTCATCCTTTCTGGGACTCTTTAGCTGGATGTACCTGCACCTCTGTGTCCTAGTGGATAATGCTCTGGCTTCTTAGGTGGTGGGTTCTTGGTCCGAGTCCTAGTGGGGATGACATCACTCACTGCAAGGCAGGTACATCCAACTCTCCGGTCCCACGTACTGCTACGAAACGCGCGTTCTGGATTTCACTGCTAGCCACTATCTACCATCAATTTAATATGGAATTATACTTTACTACAGTCTTCAAGCTCCACGCTTACATTACTCCTTCGGTGGTTGGAGGCAATCAGCAGGAAACCTTGAATATAGTCTTTCTGCTTGTTAGCACTAATCAGTAAGCTATGTTTACAAATTCAAGGGATCTCATGTCCTGTCATATATTTGAACCCGTGGAGTAGCCAGAGACATTACCACTGACCAATTACCGACATGACTGAGATCCTCCTATAGTAATCTGCTATATACATTGATTGGTCACTACAGATTGATTTGCTAGTTCTATGTCGTCTAATCCCCCCAAGATTGCAGATATGCCTCACTGATAGTTACTAACAAGTATAGAATCTAGGCTCACAACTTCCTAACGATGGCAGCCAATCACCTAACACCCATGATAGCTATGATGAGGTTAGTGATAACAATGCAAAAAGAATCGATCGAATTTGACCGGAAATGAAGACTATTCAACATGAAATTCATTACTCTTCAGTGACCAATCAATGTGGGAAAAGTTTCCTTGAGCAATAATAACTAGGTTGCTGAGTTACTTTTTTCGAGAAGATACCTCAAAAAGGGCAGAACATTCCAAAATCATTCTCACTTTGTGGGATTAGAATACATGGGATAATAAAAGGCAGGTAAGAGAATACAGATAGAAACTGGGTAGGGGAAAGTTAACAAGGTATAAGAAAAGTAACTACTGGACAGATTTAAAAGGGAGTGTTTTTTTGAAGAGAAGTTGAAGTCTCTGTATCGATTAGTTTACGGTTATCTATGTTAAATTATTCTACAAACACTCATAGTAGTTTGCGTCTAAGCCATAAACCCTCAAGGATTTTCGGTACATGGATTCAAAGTGAATGTTTGATGAATTCAGGCACATCCATCATTTTGTGATGACTTGTTATTCAGGGTCGTCATTTCTCTTCCAATGCTATTTCATATTAGTCAAGATGCATTTTTCGTCCTGCTCATGGCTCATCAACTGGATATATCTACTAGTGCTATGCTGTTCTCATTGGAACCCGAGGCAGCAACTAGCAGTTTCACATTGCATGACTAGTAACGACAATCTCACAAGTGAATCCCGACATTGATCCATCTATTTTTTGTGTGTCTCCTTAGTTCTGTCTAACTGTATCATTTTTAGTAATCTGATTAGATGGGTCTACAAATGGTGTTAGAGGGCTAGTTAATTACCTTAGATCATAATTCTCAGTTAAAATAACGAAACCTGATTGGCTATTTCAATAGTTGCTAGGGTGGCCTTCAAAGCCACACAAATAATCACCCACAAAACCACTTGGAAAGTGAAAACATCAACTTAACTAAAAAACGTTCATCAGTTTTATTAGCGCATTGTGCGCTCTCATAATCCCATGAGGGATCGAAATATGCCGGTCCTGGGCTCGATCCCCAGTGTGACTGTGGGTTCGTAATGCTGGGTAGTCCAATACTATGGCGAAACAGCTTTTCAGTGCTCCCAAATTTCCAATGGTTTCCTAACGGATGTCAGTCTATGCTGAATACAACCTTAAAAACGAAATCCCTATAAAAATCTCAAACTGCGTTAATAGCTTTATGAAAGTTATAGTTAGCCGGAATTCACAGTATCTAGGCTTATGCATGATACCTTGTTATATGTTCTTCTGCAAGAATGATTCTGTGTTTTCAGCCTGTTGAGCAAAGACGATATCCATATGCAGTGAATTGTGTGTGAAGAGTGTTTGAATTACAGATTGAGATTTCCATGTACATATGAGTTAATGGTTCTTATTTCATGAAGGTTAGTTACGTCAGTGTGTGTGTGTGTGTGGAAGGGGTAGGGTTGAGATCAGACCAAACTACATTTTATTCCTTCATTCCTGTTTAGACAATTTCCATCACAATTCAAGTGAAGAGATTCTGCTATGAGACATTCTTTATAATCTCTAACACCTTTCTGAATAATTTCGATATTCAATCTGGGGGTTTGTGGAGACAAATTAATTGATTTCAGGTTAGAATTCATTATGGACTGACATCATTTGGAGGAACCTTGGAAACCAAAGGGCGCCGGATAGCCGTCTTGTCGTAGTATGGGATTCCTTAGTAGTAAATATGCATGACCCCACCCTGCGAGTGATCGAACCCATGGCCTTCAGGTTCCGTGGTTAGCACGTTACCATCGGGCCATTGGATTCTGACTTAGTGGCTAAATGGTAACGTGCTGACCATGGAACCTGAAGGTTCTGGGTTTAGTCCCTCGTGGGGAAGGATTATGGATGCTCACTGCTGAGGAGTCACATACTAGGATGGGACAGCTGTCCAGTGCTCCCAGGCCTCCAATGTTCCTCCAACTGATGTCAGTCCATGATGAATTCCGACCTGAAATTGATTTCACTATTGTCAGAATCGATCTTATGAACTAAAATTATAGCGTGTAGAGCTATAGAGAAGTGTCTTCAAGCTTTTTTAGCTCCACTGGATTCCTAGAGGGTCTAGTGTAAGCTCTTCAACGTTTGTTTTTGCTTATTTTGATTTCACAGGAAGTCTCTCCTATGTATACTGCAACACGGTCTTAACATTTTATTTTAGAAACACAAATAAATTGTAAATCCAGAGGGATCTTGTCCTTCACATGGACTAAGCTGCTATGCAATGTGTGTAATGTTCTGTCGGGTACTCCAATGTTACATTTGTTAAACACTCTCTTCATTGCATTCTAAGTGTGTGATCTGTATGAGATGACTATTGTTGAGGTCCATGATTAAGTCGTAGTTTTACAATCAAATTTATTAATATTTTTCAAATAAAGTGAACAAACAAACAAACTAATTTTCAGAAGCTAAAAGTGTCTGGAAGAAGCTAACAAGAAACCAGATGATAAAGGCTGCTGAATCACCA